CATTTATACACCATTGGATAGAGAATTTAAAGGGCTACATTTTGGACTATTTATTTTTTAAAACACTCGAAATCGACTTTTTGGCCTAATGTCCGCTTAGTTGCCCACTGTGCGGAGTCTTTCTGTCACTCGACCTTATTCAAACCAGAGAAAGCCTTCGCTTCCAATGGCACCATTAGGATCCTGACAGTTTCTCACTATAACATTCTATCACTTATTTCAAGTGTTTTTATGCTATGAACAAAAATAAACACGGGTTTATTATACTTGCAAATCACAAAACTGCGAGAATGTTGTCCTTTTTTTTGCAACTTTTGCACAGAAGTAGCTAGCTATACCGCGTGAGTTTCATAAAATAAAAAATTTAATTAGTTGAAAATTATTATGATCAATCGTATATATATTTCCGAACGAGTCCAATTTAAAAGCAGATATATACGGAGTTTTGATTGTTTTCTCACCTTCAGGATGATCAATAATTTTCACTGTGTTATTATTTGATATATTAGGTCGATATATTCCATCTCCATCTAATAAAGCAAAATAAATATTTCCATGACAGTCTAGAGTTATACTTTCAGATGATATATTCGAGACAATTGTTAGACCAGTTGCTGTTTGGAAAAACCATTAAGAATATCAATTATGTAGATTATAATTCTGATCTACATAAATTCCTGATGGCGTCATAGAGTCATCATCCATTGCTGCTGCAACTGTTATAGTATATGTGTAATTCGGTGCGAACTATTTTTTAACGTTAGAACTCTCATAGTTCGATATGTAAATATTTAAAGCTTTATCTAAATACATAGTCATTGTAGGACTGAAAATCTGTTCCTTTAATAATTACTGTCACAATCGACGAGTTTCGTGATAAGTATTTCACGCGATATTTGTATCGTTCATATTCTGTTCTTCCACAAAGACACACGTAACATTGTTCGACTACATCCACATAGTCAAGTATATACATATCATCTGACTTATTATCAATAAATAAACTTGATGGTTTATTTAATCCTTGACTAATGTTAACAATAGTTTCTGTTCTTTTATTTGCAATAATTAATTTTTCAATTATATCATGTCCCGTATTTACAATGTATACATCATTATTTTTATCCAAAAATAAATCTGATGGTTGACATAGTTCACTTTTAAATTCGTGATTCATTTGAACTAAAATATTCGGTTTTTATGAACGCTAATCGGAACCACTTGCTAAGGACTATTTATAATGTATCAGAGGGATAACTGGTATGACATTCTGGGTTATTTATCGACTTTCACACATCAAGAAAAATTCAGATATTCAAATAAATCAAATAAACTTTTAAAATGTGGTTTTCAATGCACTGAAGAGAGCATCAAGATCCCTTATGTTCGTGATTTAAGGCTCCCATGATAATCTCATAAGGTTTAAATTAATGAACAAAATGTTACAAAAGTAGCGAGTGTTTATCGCAGTCTTAATCACAGTATTCATTCCAGTGTTAAATTTATCCAATTGTTCTGTCAGACTGTTAGTGATTCGTCAACTTATGAGATTTTTTTACGTCAGAGTCCGTATTATTTAGCCATTTAGTTTTTTAGTTAAGTTAAAGGACAAGACCTAATAAGAAGATTTTTAAGGAATTTTCTATATATTGATGTGTAGACCGGACTTGGGCGCACATTATGCTATCAGGTTGATTCATAATTAATTGCGGACTAAATTTCAGATAAAATCGGCCACTTTTGTTCGTTGTTTTTGAGGTACCGTCTAGCAGTAGTTCTAAGGATTCTTTTTAAGGTTAATCGACAGAGAATTGAATTTTCTACAAAACCTGTAATTTTAATCTTTGACAGCGTTTTTCTCGTTTGAGCACCATGCAATATTTAGAGTGGTGCTGAGTTGTCGAACTGCGACGTGCTTTTGACGTCTTCTTCTTTCAGATTTTTACTCTATTGTCTAAAGTTCAATAGTTAATTTTTCTACGTAGAAAGATAGAGAATTTTGTGTTCTATCGATCTCACTGATATACAACTTCATACAATGTTTTTGCTACGCCAGCTGGAGTCAAAATTAGCTCCCAACCGGCTTTTCAATTTTTTCAAATTAAATAAATTGTTTTAATTAATGATTTAAACTGAGAAACTCTCTTTATATATCAAAAAATGCAGAATTTAATTCTGTGTAAGATGGTAAGACTAAAATCCTGGATTCAAGACGTTTTACTGCTTTTCTAACCCAAAAACTAAAGTGTGTGAGAATAGATTCAGAATTTAGGCTGTTTTACATTTATCAGGTTGTTGCACAGAAAAATTTTTCTAGACAAGTGAACTGCAAAAATTTTGAAAAATACGTGAGAACGTGCAGAATTTTCTTGTGAATCTTCTGATGTTTTCAAAATTCTTGTGGAATCTGTTTTTCGATCAAGGCAAATACTTTTCTGTGTGTCGCAGTTCGATAACTCAGCACCATTCGAAATATTGCTCAAACAGGAAAAACGCTGTCAGAGATTAAAATTATAAGTTTTGTAAAAAATTCAGTTCTCTATCGATTAACCTTAAAAAGAATCCTTAGAACTACTGCTAGACGGTACCTCAAAAACAACGAACAAAAGTGGCCGATTTTATCTGAAATTTAATCCGCAATTAATTATGAATCAACCTGATATATTTGGTTTTCCTTCAAAACCTCGGAACGATCTGGATACTGCGTCAGTAAAACTATAGTCTGGATACTAGCTAAAAAGAAATCGCAACGGTACGACGATAAAAGCCATCAAAATGGAAAAAACTCTAGATACCACAAAAAAAATTTTGCTCTTAGAACGCGAAAAAATCAATTTATATCGAAAAGAATTCGACTGAATACATCGAAGATCGACAAATTCATGTTTTTGAGGAATAACTTCTTGTTATTGAAAAAAGTTAATCGTATAAATGTTAATAAGGATTTATTAATAGCAATATCATCAGGTACAAAACGAATGAGAGTGACAAGGAGGATGGAGACAGTGAAGATGTGAACGGTCAGATAAATGATAATGATATATTTGATGATAACATCGATTCAGTCGAATTCTTTTTGATGTAACAGCAGCTGCACTGGTTTATTGTCGATTTTCAAATCCTAGAAAAAGCGTTAAAAGTGTGAAAGAACTTTTTTTCTAGCAGTCGAAACGCTGTTTTGCTCTCTGTAGGTAAAATGTCCGCTGGTTCAAAAACTCTCCCAAAATTCTACTTCGAGAACAAGCGTTGTGTCTCACTCTGAACACTAGAGAAAGATAAGCATGGTGCTCTCCGATGAGTTTACTTTGCTTCGATAGTATTTACTGGGTGAGTGTATAACTATAAGAACTCATTTTAGAGCTCCAAAGTTCGCTTCCTTCTAAGCCTTTTTGCAAGAGATATACGAAGAATTCTTTTTGTTTGCAGTGTAAATTGTGAAATATATTTGTTTCTTCGTTGACAGCAGTTCGAGGACGACCTGCACGGACAGCATCTTCAACACTGAAATTGCTGCGTTGAAATTCAGGATACCAATTGAGAATTGTACGATCAGAAGGTGCTTGGTCCCTGCATGCTTGTACTAAACGGACATGACTTTCCTTGTACGTTAAGCCAATTTTACAGTCAATCATGATAAAATCATTGTTCGAAACTGTTCACTGGAGAGTTCAAAATTCATATAAAAAATTTTATGTCTTTGATCCGAAAGAAATTTAAAAATACAACGACGTACAAGACGTGTAAGTGAGAAATTTTGCACATAATCCTAAATATGTCTGACGAGGGAACCTCCCGAGGTGATAAATTGCTTTTTGATCGACATCTAGTGGGTTATAGGTTATCGACCATGCTGATTCCGAATATGACCATGGAACTTACCCATAGCTCTTCGAAGATCCAGTCTTCTGGAAAACCAGTTTTTCAGAAACCGCAAAAGATAACCCAAGCCTTTCTTAATAATTCAGAATTATAGCGCGCAAATTTCTGATTAGAATGAAACATTCCCCAACTCTACACGATCTTTCTTTGCAAAGTTATAAAATTTATAAGAAGAGCCCTAAATTAATTTTTTCCTTCTTATTTCTGTAGGTTTGAGCTGACAACGAACAATTTAGGGCCCCTCTTATAAATTCTATAACTTTGCAAAGAAAGATCGTGTAGAGCTGGGAGATGTTTTATTTTAATCAGAAATTTGCGCACTATAATCCTGAATTGTTAAGAAAGGCTTGGGGCATCTCATGGGGTTTCTGAAAAAACTGGGCATTCGGAATCAACATGGTCGATAACCTATAACCCACTAGATGTCGATCAAAAAGCGATTTATCACCTCGGGAGATTCCTCGTGAGCATTATAATAGAATAGTGCAACTACGGCTTTTAGGAGAGCCGGACGAAAAAACTGTTTTAGTGACCTATGTACGACGACTCCTTTTGACATCCTCAGGAAGTGGCAATAGCCATTTCGAATAATTTTTGTATCATTATAGCTCTGTTTTACTACAAAAATTTGCTTAGCAATTTTGCCGCTAATTAGGGCATCTAGAAAAAAACTTCCAGTGGAACGTTTGCCGTAGTATATGTTCTATTAGTTGAATTTGCCAAAAGTCCACTTTCGTTTTTTCACCTAATGTTTACATGGTTCCCCACTGTGCGCAGGTATATAAGCACGCAATTTTTAATTGCTTCTTTTGTCCTGCTGTTGTAGTTGTTAGTTTCCATCGAGACGTTCCATATCGTCTGACAAATTCTTCATGTCGTCAAATGCCAAATCATACGAAAAACATTTAACTATAAAACTTAAAGTTATAAGTTGGGTTGAAAGAGTCTGTATAATCCTGGCGTTTTTATAGATGTTTCTATTGTGCTCATTGGAAACTTATCTGGAGTTTTTCACATATACTGAGATGACTTCATATCAACTTTATTCAGCACATTTTTCTACAATGATATGAGAATCTAGAGTCAAGGAAGTGAACGAATCACTGCGGTTAACGTTAGTCAAAAAAGGTCTTCTGTTATCTTGATTTTGTTAAGGATGGATTCTAATGCATTTATTTAAACTTTATGAATGAAAAAAATAGAAAAAAAAACGTTGGACTACTCTAGACGATTGATTTCTCTACAACTTCCAAAGAAAAAGAGATATAAGTAGACTTGTATGAGAAATGGATTAAACTGCAGAAATAGCAACATACTGAAGTCTAAAAAACACATAAACATAATCAAAATACTAATTGTTCAGATTCATATAGTTTGTTAGTTTTTCCATATAATTGTATGATTTTTAGTTATATCTAAATTTAATTTTTTAACAATTAAAATCTTTGTCTTTGGTTTAAATTTGATATATTTCACTTGATGTTTTTTATTAACAAACATTGTTTTTGGTTTCTTATTCAGTCCATAAATATGTAATGTATCTAATTTTAAATTTTTCATGTCTAAATAATTATTTTCTATTACATTAATTGTTAGTTTTCTTAAATTTCCATGCCAATTAAATGTTGCATAGTAATACTTCTTCTGTTCAATAGTATCAATACCATCACCATCATCGTAGAACAATTCACCATGTGCATTATTTTTAGAATTAAGTGCAATTATGAGACCAAATGGTTTTTGACGTGAATATTTTGTATTATTAGCTGGTTGTTGTGTAGGAATAATATATCCTCCTCTTAAAAATATCGGTATTGTATCTAATGGTGCTGCTACTTTAATTGTTTCTTTATTAACTTTAATTTGTTTACCATTGTAATAATCGTACCAATCACGTGATGGTATATAAACATCGATTTCATTTGTATTATTATCTGTAACTGGTGTGATCATCAGTGCAGAACCAACTAAAAATTGAAGATATACATCAAGTGTTTTTGGATCTGTTGAAAATTCATGAAATAATGGGCGAATAACAGTATCACCTAAAGTATGAGCTTTAAAAAATAATGTATAGTAATAAGGCAAAAGTGTATAACGAATATTTAATGCATTAATCATAATCTGAACAGCATTATCAGACCAATAGCCGGGATCTTGATCTGGTGTTTTCCATATATTATGATTACGTGAAAATGGATAAAATGCACCAACTTGCATCCAACTGAAAAAATGAAAGGAGTTATGATTATTATTAACACTAGATTCATCTTTAACCGGGACTAGTAAAAATGCTCTCAGATCAAACAATTCTACCAAAGGATCATACAAGGTTCTTACAAGATCTTACCAAATCCTACGAAAATCTTGTAAGAAAATCTGAAATTCAAAAAATCCTACTGTAAGATCCTTTAGTCAGATCTTGTAGAATTTTGCAAGATTCTACTGTAGGATTTTATCTGATTTTCTGCTGGTATATCCTACTAGGCCTATTGTTTTTATTTATTAAATTATTCTCTAATGTCTGCTAGCCAGAATCATGTGATCCTGAGCCCCGAGGCTTGTGAGTACTGACTTACACGTCGTTGAACAGTAGCAAGCAGAAACCATCGCAGGGCAACTTTTTTCGCCCTGCCCTGTCAGAAAATTACTCATCAAACTGTTTTGGCCCCGCCCTGCCCTGCCCTGTTCGGCTGGGCATAACGCCCTGCAGTGCAAAACAAAGTTTTTCTCCTTAACCTAGAAGATTTTATGTTCAAGAACCTCATCGTTGTAAGAAAGAAAACAGATTTGAGCACTCTCTGTTGCCTTCGTTGTACAATCTCAAAATTTTACTTAAGAAGAAGTTTGAAAATCTCAAAAATCTATCTCCCAAAGAGAAAATTTTCTGTTGTCCTGCCCTGTTGCAGGGCAGGTCAACAAAAAATGTGTCACCCTGTCCTGCGATGGTCTCTGGCCGCGAGTTTCGATGGTTCAGTGTTCGGTGCGAAAATTTGAGCCTAAAAGAATTTTTCATTTTCTACAATGTATTTATATTAGAATTACTGCAAAATACGTCGGCGATTGTGTTTTCGTATAGAAAAAGAAAAGAAAATATAAACAGAACGAAAAAATAGGGATACTACACAAAATCTTACCGTAGGATTTAGTAAGAAATGTATAAATTTTCTATTATAGGAATCCTATGGAATTTTTGCTACCATCTATCCTATAGTAAGAGTCCTACAGAATTTCTGTTATAGGATTTTATAGGACACTACAATAGGAATCCTATGAAATCCTATTATCAGTAGGATTGCTGGACCTGGATCAGCCGATTCATCCAGTTACCGGTCCGATTTGCTTAAATCTTTTAACGGGCCGATCAATGGCTGATCCGATCAGCTTGGAAAGTTCTCAACGAGTTCCAACTCTGGTTAGGTTAAATGCATAATCTTCAAAGACTTACAAAAAAATAAATTGTTTGCAAGCTTTCAAATTACATAACGTTTTAGATTGTATCTGATGCATATTTTTTGTCCAAATTTGAAGGAGAAAATACAAATTCAGTAAACTTGCATTACATCTGGCATTTGTAAGATGAACGTCTGATATTGAGTTCGATCCGAGGGGGAATAGCTGATTAGAAAATTTTCTGATTTTGACTGATTTTCAACGATTTCCTGTGTTTTGTTTGGGAAACTAAGTAAAGAGACTGCGATAAATAGTGCAGAACCTGCTTTATTTGTACAAAATAGGAATTAGACATAGTGAAAGTAAAGAAATAAAAGATAAAATTATAAGCGATTTTTAACAATTTTCGATTTAAACCGATTTTTTAAGCTCAAAAATCAGTTGTTTCTCCCTCAGTTAAATCACGCATACATTTGAATATATCGTCTTAATAGAAATTGGAGAATGTCTGTCTATCTATCTCGAAAACGAATGAGCTCATAGACTTGTGTTAAACTTTGTAAAGATTTTCCCTGAAACGAACAACATCTCTGAAATTGAGTGCTACCTTCTTATGTTCTGAATTCGATGTAAGCAAAAACGCTTTATCTGTCGGTCTCATTCACACGAATGCAAAAAACGAAATGAATTCATCATACCGAGTACACAATTCTTCTGTTGGTATCTTATCAAATCCACAAATATCAGCACCAACAAATGGTATGCCAAACCAATTAAATTCAATCATACCAATCATTGAACGTTTAAGATCATGCCAACTTGCTTCATTATCGCCAAGCCAATGTGCACCCCACTGACCACTACCAAAAAATGTCGATCGAGTTAAGACTAATCCACGTTTACCAGTAATTGATTGAAGTGCATCTAATGTCGGCTTTGTTTGACTCCATCCGTACAAACTATAGACACATAGAATGAGAAAATAAGAATAACAGGCAATGAAATGATCGATAATCTATCAACTGGCTTGATCAATTAACGGTCTCATCAGAGATGTCATAATACGGATACAGTCTGTAATCGAGTAAAATCCCAGAATCCCAACAATCCCAAGCATTTATAAACCTGGGATTTTACTCGATACAGAGTCTGTATCCGAATTTATATGTATCTCTATATGTTTATAAATGCTTGGGATTGTTGGAATTCTGGGATTTTACTCGATTACAGACTGTATCCGTATTATGACAGCACTCGGTCTCCTATAACAACAATAAGGTTTGTGCACAACTTCGCCGATCGAAGTCGATAGTGTATTGCACATGTGTTTTACTCATTCAAAATATCAACTGAAATCCGTCGTTAACAACATTTTTCTATGAGAGACACTGCAATCAAAGTTGACATCGGACGGGCTAATTGAGCCGGTCACTGATCCGCACTTGCTAGTCGGCGGGTTCTTAACGAGCAATACAGGTTGAAAAAGGGGTTTTAACCAGCAAGGCACTGGGTAGTGCGGTCTGGCTGGAAAATTCTAAACTGATTTCAACTCTACTTGGGGTAAATGACCTAATAGCACAGTAAAAATAGTTTATAATAAAATAGTTATGATGTCTTAAATTTGATAAGTTATCTATCCGTAGGAAAAGAGCTCCTCGTTTAAATGTCGATCTTTTAACTGCAATCTGTCGAGCTAAAAAAAGATTTTCACACACTATCTGCTGTTTTAGTTGAAGTTTTGTAACAAGATCATGGGTTTCGCTAGCATTTTTTGAATAAAACATCCAAAAATCTAGCCGACTCCGTCACAAGTTATAGAATGAACTAATTTTTTAATATTTCATTCTAATTTTCTTTGTCAACAGACTGAAATTTCGACCACAAAAAAAAGCCGAAATTTGTAGAACTCGGGATTCTCTATTAGTGATAAAAATTTTAGAGAGCTTCGCTTTTGTCATTTTAGATACAAAGGGGTTATGGAAGGCAAAAAAATGAAAGTTCGGTGAGACATTCAGTCACATCCAGAGCTGGAACGGGGGTAGAAACCAGTATTTCACTGAATCGAATTTAGTCATCAGTTGAAACAGCTGCTCCCTTTACCCTGCTTTTCATCAAAAAACTAAAATTTCACGTCTTTTTCAGTCAAAATAAATGAGACAATGCTTAGGACATATTATTTTCGTCATTTATTTTAAGGTTAAATGGTATAGACTCGTTATTGTGAAGGTTCTCTCACATGTACTCGCAAACTATTTCAGTTCTGCGAGAAATTCTTTCTGAAACATCGAGTTTCAAAAAAACTTCGCTAGCTTTTCATCGGTTTGAGTTATAATAACAACCGGCCAGTTTACTGTTTCTCGGTCGGTAGCTCTGGCCATGCCGCTATCTGTTTCTTACCTATGTACATCATAATGACGATATAATCGATTTTCACCTTGAGGTGCTACCATACACAATGTATGATCAGATAAACGACTAAAATGAGCATCTGCTGTATCGTAACGATAAACAGCTTTTGTACGATATGGTGGATCATCCCAATAACTAACTGGACATTTTAACTAAAAAACAAAATGAACTCAAAATAACGAATAGGAAATTTCTCTAATGAGAAACTTACTCGAATCTTACTAGGGTCTTAGAATAATCTTATTAAGATCTCAGTAAGATTTTGCTTACATTTTGTCTAAGATCTTAAACAAATCTTACTAAGATTGTGAAACCCAAAAACTCTAAGATTTTTCCAAGATCTTAGTAAGATCTTATGAAAATTATACTGTGACAGTATAATCTTAGACAGTATTCTGTCTAAGATTTTTTCGAGTAAGAATTTGTTAGCATCTTAATGGTAAGAACGATCACGTTCGAGATTCGATGAGAATTTTTGAATTTTTAATGTGCATTATCAAATGCAGGAGTTGAACAGTGTTAAAGAATGAAGAGAAATTTTATATTTCAGGCATCCAACGAAGGACGATGTCCAGTATGTACACTCTCTAAAAGGTTGTTGAACATTTTCAAGAGAGCAAGTACTAGTAGAGTCTGAATGAAAAATAACCGTAAATTCACTCATATTTCCCGTTTTACTTATAGATAAATGAGATCAAAACAAAAGGATGAATCAACGTAGAGTCATTAAAACGTATTAAGATCTTAAAGGATAAGATCCAATAAGATCCTAGTAAGGTACCTTTCAGAAGTGTCTAATATTTTTACTAGAGTTAAATTATGTTCGTTTAGCAATAATAAACAACTCACTGTGTAATTCGATCCAGTATAATTCCAATTCCATGGTGCAGCCTCATTGGTTCCAAAGAGTGCTAGAAATCAAGGTTAAAATCAAATAAAACCACTATTTTTCTGTGAAAATGTGAAGTAACTATATAATCGAGGTTAGAATGAAGTCCGTTCATAAGTACAAAATCCATACCACTGCTACATCCATACCGTAGTATCCATACCGACACATTGACGCGAACAACAAGATTTCACCTTTTAACCACAATGACTTAAATGGAATAGAATCCTCGAGCATTTCATTGTTGGAAGAAGATTGCAGAGATTTTATTTTGGTCAACAAGAAACCGCTGTATTTTTCATCGTTTTCTGATAGCAGATTTTGTTTTTAACATAAAGAACGCCTTCTAACGATATTCTTCACTTTACAACGCTTGGGTACGACCCCAACTATCTCATTGCTTTTAGCTTGAAACATACACGTTTATGAGTTATCGATGACGTTAATTGGGTCCAAGGTTAGTTTCCAAGATATTTAGCCACAACAACCTCACATATACGTATGTTACGATGAACTTACAAAACTTTTTTAAAAAAACTAAAGATTTCTTAAAATTCAAACTCACCAGGTTCATTCATATCAATCCATAATCCATCAAATGTTAAATGTACAGTTCTAAAATCCTTAATCCATCGTGCCCACCATTTCTGTGTCTGATTTAAGAAGAAATCTATATAGTTTAAAAAACAATACAAAAACGTTTTTTTAAACTGATCATCGTCGAATTTTAAACATCAATTTACCCGGAAAATAAACTTCACCTGGCCAACAGGCCCCTTTCATTAAACGTCCATCATTCCATTTAATAAAAACATCTTCTGCTATACCAGTAATTGTTGGCTGATATGTTTTATTATCAGCATTCATAGCTGGATCTAAAATAATTATTGTACGTATTCCACCAGCATGTAATTCTTCATAGAATTGATTTAAACCCACATAATTGATAGGATCAATTGTAAAATCTTTTTCTAAATCCATATAATCAATATCATTAAATTGTACATCTAATGGCACACCTTTATCAATATTGCGTTTAACAACCGTTTTCATGTGTGTTAAATTACTATAATCCCATCGAGATAATTGAAAACCTAAAGCCCACTAGAAACGAAACGATGAATGAGAGCAAAACAAAAGGATAAATAAAAGTAGAGTCTAAGTTCGTCATTTTTCATATCTCTAAAACTATTCAAGGTAAGTTCCCTCATGAACAACTTATTAGAACCTTATTAAGATCTTACGAGAGAACCTCTTTAGGTTATAAATCGCTTTTGAATCCATACTACTTGTATCTTGTAGCCTCAGTGAGTAGTGAAATATCCTAAGTTGGTTCATCCCCGTGGTGCTTTGTTGCTGAGATATTGAAGTTTTACTCAGTTTTTGCCCATAGGGCTTGGATTTCGAACAAAATCCGACTTTTGAATTTTGACTTCAAACTTGCCACACTGGGAGTCCATGGTCATAGTAGTACGACGGAAAAATATGCGGTTCTAATAAATTTTACTGCCTTGAGATACTGAGACTCGAATATTTGACCCTCATCCTCGCGTGAGATGAAATGTTCGAGTCTCAATATCTC